TGTAGTTCTTGATGTTCTCTAAACGTGGTTGTTTGCTTGAAGAGATTTCATAACCTAACTAGGGAACATCATTACTGCTAGTGAGTGTGAGTTTGTTCCCAAATAAGCAGGAATTAACACTAGACAAAAATCAAGCAGAAAAACAACATCCTAATCAAGGATCTCACAGGGTTGTTGTGTACATTCACCACCTTGAATTACCTATAAAGTAAGCAAAGGCAGCATAAGTAATCTATAACCAAGGAGAAAACCACACCCCCAATACTGTCAGAGTAAGCTACTGTATCTAAACAGAGCGCTAACCCTGCATTTACTAGCACTGATAATGCTAACTAGTTTGGTACTGATATGTCTGCAGGCAAACAACCAAGCTTAGAGAGCATGAAGGACTCTACAATTCAACCCTGAGCTACAAACAGTATATTCTCTTCTAATGAGCCATTATATTATAAATCATTTGCTGGAACGAGAATTAGAAGACTCAACAGAAGTTAGAATTACTTACAGGCTCTAAACAACTTGGTACAAGTTTATTTACAGAATATTCCCCAAATTATTAAGTCTCTGGATCAAGGGTGTCAAACTCATGTCATCACATGACATATCATGACTTTTTCCCCCTTCGCTAAACCGGGCGTGGGTCTAGTCAGCATGTGCGCATCTGGCCCATGGGCCGTGAGTTTGACAACCCTGCTCTGGATAAAAGAAACATTTTTTGGGATTGTCTTAAAATTCTTTGGAACAAGAAGTAATTAGTAACAGTCATACTAAACAATTTGTAAAAGAAATACAATTATATATTCAATATTTCCCATGCCTAATTTAAGAAATGTATCAAAATACACATTATCCTGCCAGTAGCAACCAGATTGACATCTGCTTTGTACTGCAACCATACAGACATATGATTAAATAAATTATAGTAAATAATACATTTGGAAAAGTGAACACAATAGGATATATTAAATAATACAAAGAGCCAAAATACTTTTATGAATTGCATCATCATATGCATTTTATGAATAAATTTCTCAGGACTATTGAATATGTTGGTCAAATAACTTAAATGTTAATTTTATGTGCTGTTTGCTGATAATTCCTTTTTGAGTTATTTTATTTTTTAACAAAGAAAAAATAAGTATATATTTTTAGCAAAATTAGATTTAAAATATTTAGCAACGGAAAAATATTAAAGGTGATACTTCCTGCATTGTATTATCATATGCTAGTTTAAAACCATGATACGTTAAAGATTACAGCATACACAATATTCACATGGGAAGAAAAATCAGCTTTCTGTTTTATGCATGGAAAGATCCCCCCCTCTTTAAACACAAAGGAACACTCCATATTAAACGTGACATATATCTGGAAGAAAATCCCATTCATCCAGTGATGGCTGGATCCGTAGACTGAGATCTGAATAAAAGCAGCCCTCCAGCTGTATCTCCTATTCTAATAATTACCTAATCTGCATTTAATTCATTTATACAGTCACAATATGACTGCTGAATCTTTTCCTTTTTTTTTCAAGTGATAGAAAATAATTACTGCCAGATTTTAGGTACAGTACTGCCTTCCATAATTATCTTGACTAGAATCCTCTTATATGTGTGAAATCACCAAATTGGGCCATCTGGCTAGTGGCTGATGAGAGTTGAGTCTATTATGGCTGGAAGGCATCAAACTGTTAAGAGTTGCTCAACAATATGCTTTTAATATACATGGGAGGATGTATAAAGGAAGGAAGGAAAGATGCTGGAGAGAAAGATCAGTGAGACAAACGCAGTGGCTATGGGAAGGAGGGACAGACTCTGGGAAAATCAGGAAACAGGTGGACAGGTGTGATATGCCAATTTAAACACTGGCAGTGATGGCTAAGAAAGGGAGGAAAACTGGCAGGCAGGCAATCCAGGGAGATGCCATTCTGATAGCCCCTAAGGAAACAGAACAATTATTTGCATCAGCCTTGCCCAATTTGCCTAGCTGTGATGGCAAACCTATGGCATGCATGCACAAACTGGCATGTGGAGCCACGTCTGGGTCCTCTTGCAGGTTTCTGGCGTGCATGCGCGTGCAATGATCAGCTGGCCCTTTTGCGTTCCGAAAACTGGAAGAGCTGGTTTTCTGTTTTCCTGCGTGCGCATGCACATGCACATGCACACCAGAAACCCAAAAAACTAACTGGCCAGCGTGCATGTGCGCACCAGAAACTAGAAGTTCATTTTCAGGTGCGTGCATGCACCCTGGGCAGCTCTTCTTCCGGGTTCACTCGGTGCCAAAAAGGTTCGCCATCACTGGCCTATAGGATAAGGCTTTCATCTGATCTAAAGCCAGAAAACCAAAGTATTCTAGGTTGTTTCTACTGAATCATGGCTAATTTGAAACAACGAAGTAGAACTTTTGGAATGCAGTGGTTTGTTCTGAGTTCAAAATAAAATATTTTTCCATTTCATGCACAGATCTATTATCGTAAAATTTAGGATTGCAGCATAAAAGAAGTTTATCCAGTGTAATTTTACAAATTTAAGAGTTATTGTTTCCATTGTTTCCTACTTGTGATGTAAGCGGCCCAGAGTAATTTAGGACACATTCCTAAATCTCATAATAAATTATAGTACACCAACCTTCTTTATCCTGGATCTTGGCTTTGACATTTTCTATAGTATCAGATGGTTCAACCTGTTGTAAAAGTTTTAAATTGCACTTAAAGGCTTATAGAGTCAAATTAGCTATAGATATATATTATACATATTATAGATGGTTGCTCAGTCACCCAGATGTTTAGAGTAGATTTGGCAGTTTTGTCTATTAATCCCTTCCCAAGGACCCGGGACAGTCAGATGTTTCATGGTGTTAAAAAGTATCATAGCATATAAGCTGTTCCTAAGTATGTAAGTTGTTCCAAGTAAAATTGCCCTTTTGCAATTGATAGTGATTTTGTCAATGCTAATGTTCAAAAAGCACTCCATATGTCTTGAAATTGCACTCAAGGTGTCTATTACTATAATTACCATAGTTGCTGTCATCACAATTGTTCTACTTCCATTTGAAGTTGTTTGTATTTTGTGACTTTCTCCAGTTCATTCTCTTCTACTCTGCTGTCTCCAGGTATTGCATGTCCACTGTCCAGATTTTTATCAACAATTGTTTTGTTTGGGGTATTGTTTGCAGATGTTCATGTGTTGAATTCTACTGCATTTTAGCTTCTTCATTTTCTAATACTTACAGCTATTGCTGATTTCTCAATTCTGGCTTTATATGCTTAGTAAAATAGGGCCAAGTTAAACAGGTCTATTAACTATAAAATGTTTTACTATTTCAGCTTAAAAGCACTTCTTGTAGTACCTGTTGCCCTTGGCATTATAATTTCAAATCTACCAAAGGGTTATCATGTCTAAAATTCAATTTAAACCATACTTATATCCTTATGTTTGGAATTTTACTTTTTTGTTGAAAATGACCAATACTTTAACATGCTCAATTACCTATCATATGCACAGAAGTCGAGGAAAAGCAAAAACAATTAAACTGACATGGAAACAGGTAAATATTACAGAAATAGTATATTCCTAATATTTATTTTTGTAATTTAAAATACTATCCGCTACCCTTCAAAACAAAGTTTCCTTCAGGGTGAGTTAATTTCACAGCATCAATATCATCAAGTATGTAAAAAAGATAGGAATAACATAAATCTTAAAACTTCCCAAAAATTTTTAACAAAATAGTAAGGGATTCATATGGGTAGCAAAGGATATTGGGTGTAAAAGTAGTAATTGAGAACATGTCAAATATCCCATTCTAGCAATTTATCCCATTTCAAAGCTTTAATTGTTTCGGTATTTTTAATCTCCCGGCAAAAAGCAGGTAAAGCTTTTTCTACAATACACAAGGAACAAAAGTTCATTTGATTAAATTAATCTGCACTACAGAAAAGGAAACTGTTTGCCCTCTTGTCTTCCTGTGGCTTGGCCACTATGGGACATGAGATGTTAAGAGGCCTTTGCCACAACTTCTTATTCTGACCCACTTTACCTACACACTAGAAACAGCACTAAATCATATCTTCAATTACTTCGGGACTTTTATGCCTGAAAAAAACGGAGCAGAAATTTGAAAACTGCAAACTCTCCATCTTCTGGATTTCCTGCACAGACCTCCAATTTTCTAACCAATGCCATCTTTGCCTTAATCCTTTAAACCTCTGCAAAAATTATAGTCTTCCTATTGATTTACTTCTTTGTAGCATTATTCCATTGACGAAAATATCAATTCTCTCCGCTCATTTCCTCGCTTTAACGCCCACGAGGAAGAGGCTTCTAACTTCCATTCTGCAGCGAGGCACCATTTTTACTCAATCTAACACTCCCGCGACCAAAATGCCCATCTCCACCCCAAAAGAGAGGGACAGACAGGTTGAAAGGGGAAGGAAACCGGTTTGAAAAAGGCACCGGTTAGAGGTCCACAGACTAACCACTCTGCCTTCCTCACCTCGAGGGTTATGGTTTTCCCCGTCAAGGTCTTCACGAAGATCTGCATGGCGGCGGTTGAGCGCCTAGTGATGGCTGTACCTAGAGGGGGAAAGAACAGCGGAAAATCAAGGCTTCGTTCAGCGCCAAAGCTGAGAAAAAAAAGAAATTCGAAGTAGGACAACCGCTCACCCACCACCCGCTCTCAGAATGGCCGACGCCAAAAAGAGAGGCTGTTCCGCTGCGCACGGGGTTTCCGAACCTTGAAACAGGGAAGAAGGGCCATGCGTCGCCACACCGTAGGACTACAATCTCCAAGATTCATTTCCTTTCGAAATTATTGAAAAGCATGATGGGAGTAGTAGTTTTGGTTAAACGGCGGCGCCTAGTAAGTCGCGGAAGAATCATCAGGATTCTAAGCCAAATGTTAAGTAGACCGGAAGTGGGAGAAAGGAAGTGTGGAGGAAAACTACATTTCCCACAGGTCCCCCGAAGGCCGCTAGTTTTCCCTCCCTTCCTGATTAACAGTTCCGCTTTGTTGTTACCAACAGTTGGCTTCTAGGAGAGTTTAGTTGGATGGAAGAGGTGGGTCTTCCTTGGCAGCATCGGGAGGAAAACGAATAGGCCGCTTTCTTAACGGCGAGAAGAAGAGTTGATGGCCTCGCGTTGAGATAGTTCCCTTAGAGTCCAGAGGCTGCTAGGAAAAGGCCGATGGAGACCTTAATTGTGATCCTGAAGCTCTACAGACATAAGTATTATTAGTCAAAAAATGTGTTAAAGAAATATTTCCAAAGGGTCTAAAATGTTTAAATGATTATAAGAAGTAAAATAGGTACATTGATTCCAGATTATCCTCTTAAAGAGTTTTTTTTTAAATAATTTCCATTTAGTTTTTAAACAACAGAATAAATGTTATTAAGAATAAAACATAAATATATTAAATTATTAAAACAATATACTTTTTAAAAAACTCATACTGTTCACAATAACAAAAATTATTATTTTATATTTAATAATATAATTATTATAATAATAATTATTACCAGTAATATAGTGTAAGTGAAACTTTCACTTTTCCACACATCAAAATACTATTATTTATATTCATTGTTACAATTCAGTTTTTAAAGAAGAAAAATGTTTGAATTGTTTAAACTTATGATATGGATAGTCGTGCTATCCATACAATGGATCAATACAATGCCAGTCCAAAGATTAAGAATTGACCACAAATATTTGGTGGTGGTTTTGTATCTGCTTATGTGACCTTTGTGTGCTACTGATAAATGCCAAGTGTCTCTGAAATGAGATTGCATCCAGTCCAGTGGTGGGTTCCGCCCGGTTCCGCTGAGCTGGTAGCAGTGATGATATGACGTCACCAAACCGGTTTGCCCCCCACCCGCTGCGTTATTCTTACCTTTTATTTGGCCCCACCCCCAATCTATTGCTACCTCCTGAGTCCCAGCTGATTGGGAAAAAACTGTTTAAACTCTTGCCCTGGGGCTTCAAAGGGCCGCCCTACAGCTGATCAGTGGTAAAAGGCAGTTTGGTGGTAGACCCCTGCCTCCAAAAACAAATGAGTAGACTGGTGCCTGCAAAAATAAATGGGTAGACCGGTACAGCTCTGCAAGCAGTTAAAAACCTGGTAGACCAGTACCTCTGCTAAATCCTAAAGAATTGTCACATGACCATTAAGCCACACCCACAAAATAAGCCACACCCACAGAACCAGTAGTAAAAAAATTTAGAACCCACCCCTGATCCAGTCATGAGTGAGTGGTGGATGAATACACAGATCTGGCGTGCATTACTGAGACCTAGCTAGGCAAAGGTCTTGATGCCATCAAAAATCTGCCAGGTTAGGATCTACATTATATTTTATATTAACCTTGAGGGGAGCTTGGGACCTACATTACATCCTATGTTAACCTTGAGGGTGTGGCATTCGTCTTTTGTTCTTAAAGCAGTAATGGAGTGAGAATGCTTTAAATTGGGCTGTTGAGAAGCTGGAGGTCCTGTTATAATACTGGCTATTTGCCTCCCAGCAGACTCCCTCCCTTGGCTTTTTGACCTGGTTATTGGCCTGGTGATAAAGACCCCCTCCCGCCTTTTGATGTTGGGGGACTTCAGCCTCACGTGTTATGCATTGATTCTGGTCAAACCCCAGAGTTCAGGCCTCCATTCCTTATCTGGGTCTGTCTTTGAAGGTCTCTCAGAAGTTGCATTTGGTTCAGAGTGCAGCACATCATGTGCTTACTGATTACACAATACACTACTGTATACTTGTTGCCAATAAGTTTCTGAGTAGAATTTAAAATGCTAGGGCTAATCTATAAAGCCATATATGGCTTGGTACCTAGTTGTGTGTAAGATTGTATTGTGCCATTGGAATTGGCCTTGCCAATGTAATGGAAGGAGCTGATACTAGTTCCCCCTTTTAGAGAAGTAAGTGGGAATAAGGTGTGACAACCCTGCTTTTCAGTGACAGAGCCTTCTTCTGGAATGGCCTTCCAATGGACAACTGGTTTCTCATAGTATTATCATAGTAATAAAATCTTACAATAAGGAACCATCACTGGACACATGCAAGTATAGGCATTCCTTCCTAACATTCCTTCAAAGTTATTGTAATAACTTTGTAAAATTGTAATTATTACATCTGCAGAATAGACTGATAATAGCCAACTTCTTCTAAGAAGTCCAATAAACTGGAATATTTTTTTCTGAACAAGCCAATCTTAAATTGTACTTAACATTTTTTAGAGTCTGAAATGATTTATTTGATGGTGTAGGATATTACAATTCTCTATTATAGATGGCAGATTACAATGTTCAAAATGTTTATCTGAAAATGATTATGTATCTGAAAAAACATTTTATGTTGATGATAATCTCAGTATTTCAAAATGGATGTTTAATATACTAAAAAAATTAAAAATCCTTTCAGCTTTGTAAGATTCAGGCTTGGAAATATTTTGTTCCTAATTTATGGTTCAGTTTCTTATTCAGCAATCCATACTTACCTGATAACTTATTATTAAATTCAACAAGAGGTATTTGAGATCTGCAAAATCTTGCTATTACACACAACCTCTTCCTCCATATTCAATTTCATATGACACTAAGGGCACTGCAGCTAGATTTAGTTTATGGTCCTTAGTTTACCTGGGAATAAGCCATGTAGAACGCATCCTTAAAATTGATGTTTTAGATGAAATTTTCATTTCTTTTATTGATGTGGCATTATTTTTAGGTTTTGACTGAAGCATGTCTTCTGATCAAAATAATGACCCGATGCCTTAGTTGCTATCTGCAATGGAAATGTAGATGTCTTCTGCACCATGAAATCAGCCAGTGTTGGAACAAGTAAACACTCAGTGCTTCCTCCTATCATCCCAGAGACTGAGAAAGAATTTCTGGAGAGCATTCAGAGTTATATCATTTCAGAAATTGAAAAAGTGGGCTGTACTGAGAAAGGACCAGCAGAGGATTATTACATAATATACAGAAATGTGTTTGAAATGGTAACTAAACACTTCTAAAGATATTCCAATTTTCCTGATCAGTGAGTGTGATCTTTATGGCTTTGGTATATTGTCTGACTTATGCTGAAATCAGTACAATAATAATATGTAGCATGAACTAGTGAGGCAACTTCATTTCTTATGACATTGAATCCTCTGCAGTCTGTTAATAGTAATGCTGATTGATGTTTTTCAGTTGTAGAATGTTCTTAATGTTGTTTATGTGTTTTTTTATTGTATACCACCCACAGTCACATTTTGTTAAATGGTCAGTTATATAAATATACAGTATATCACAGAAGTAAGTATATCCCCTCACATTTTGTAAATATCTTTTCATATGACAACACTGAAGAAATGACACTTGGCTACAATGTAAAATAGTGAGTCTACAGCTTGTATAACAGTGTAAATGTGCTGTCCTCTCAAAATAAAGCAACACACAGCCATTAATACCTAAACTGATGGCAACAAAAGTGAGCACACCCCTAAGTGATAATGGCCAAATTTTCTTTTGTTTTGATTCAGAAAGAGTTTTTTTTAACTTACAGTAAGGTCAGCTCTTTTTATTGTATCACTATTTATTTATTTATTGTATCACTATTAAATAATAATGACATGTAATCAATTTCTGTATTGTTAAAACAGATAATTGAGCATGTTAATGCATACAAAAGCATTTTGACCACAATCAAGCAAGAATATGATGCTTTTATAGAAGTAATAAAAAAGGGGCAGCATGATGCATTTTATCTTCATGGAAAATTAAAAACGTTAGCATGTGAATCTACAACTTTAATGTATTATAAGAAAAGAATAACTCAGCTGGAAGAAAAGTAAGAACCTCTTTCACTCTTTTGCAGGGGTTGGGTGTTCAAGGCACAATTTTGAACTAGTCTCTCATATAGTGACATGATCTGATTTGAAATTGCTAATACTATGTGGTGCTTTTTTTCATTTTTAAAAAAGTTTGTATCTTATGCCTTTGAGGATGCTTAAAGAGTGAATATTATATCTAACGAAAGTTAGGTTTAAGAAAAGAAAGGCAAATAACCAAGAAATGCTATTTTTATATGTCATAATTTCTGACACTACCACAGGTGAATTACATTGGAGTTTGCACGCTATCAGATAATGATAGCTAGCAAATTTGACATGTTGCAGCATATTAGTGTACCACAAAGGACATATCTGCAGCATATTAGTGTACCACAACATGCAGAATAATTCCATGGCACCATTAGTTGGGTAAAGTTAAGTGTTATACTCCATTGAATGGTGATAATGGAAGAATCAGAGGTTGATTTGGGGAAGAACTCCAGTAGTCTGAAAGATGACAAATCAGGAGACTTCCTGTGAACATGGCAGACGGTTAACATGCCCAGAGAGGCTTCTTTCTCTGGATTGCCGTTTTTTTCAACTTACTAACAGAAGAAAGAGGCATTCCTTTCGTTTATATAACTCTTCTGGTTTAGGGAAAGTTCTAATATCACCCCATAGTATCCTCTATACCAGGAGTTTCCAACCTTGGCAACTTTAAGACTTAAAATCAGCTGTTCCTAGAGGTGAATTTCAGAAACAGGTTTGTTGGTTGTGAGCTCTGTGCCTTGCTTTTTTTTGCTTTTTTTCCTGCTTCTGAAAGCCTCCGAAACAGAGCTTCAGAAAAAAAGGCTTTTTTTCCTGAAGCTTCTTTCAGAGGCTTTTTTTCTGAAGCTTCTTTCAGAGGCTTTTATTTTGAAGGACCATCTGTACTCTGTCCAACTCCTTTCTTTGGTATTAGTATGTAGATTAACCTCTTCTGATCTGTTGGTTATTGTATCATTCTCCAGATTTGTTAATATAGTTTGGTTAGAACCTTTACTGATTCTTCTTTTGTTGCTTGCCATATTATTTTAGATAAAAGCCTTTCAGAGGCTTTTTTTCTGAAGCTTCTTTCAGAGGCTTCTTTCAGCCTCTGAAATCTCCATTTGTGAGGCTGGGCAGGGCTACATTCGGAATATAAAATGCACCCAGATTTCACCCTCTTTTTTTGAGGAAAAAAGTGTGTCTTCTACTTAAAAAAATACGGTATATAAAGTAAGGTTGTAAAATGAGGCAAGATTCACTTAACTGTTTCACTTTGCAACAGAAATTTTGGGCTCAATTCTGGTCGTAAATCGAGGATTACCTGTAGTAATCATTCTGGAAGATGAACAACAAGCTTTTTTTTCTTTTAACTGAAGGTTTTACCCTGTCTACCTATATCCCCGCCATCTTCCTTCATTCAAATATCTAAAGAGAGCCTTGGTAGTACAGGGGTTTAAGGCACCCTGTTATTAAGCTTATTAAGACCAGCTGCCTGCAATTATTGCAGGGTTCAAATCTCGCCAAGGCTCAAGGTTGACTCAGCCTTCCATTCTTTCTAAGGTAGGTGAAATGAGGACCCAGTTTGTGGGGGCAATAAGCTGACTTTGTATAAATATACAAAAGGATGAAGGCTATTGCTGAGCACATTGTAAGCCGCCCTGAGTCTTCGGAGAAGGGCGGCATATAAATCAAAATTAAAAAAAAAAAAAATTAAAATGTCAAAGGCATTTATAACTCTTCTCCAATTATTGAAATTATATGCAATTGTCTATAAAAAATGAAACAAGTATTGTATTATTTGAATTGCTTTTGTTTTTAAGAGTGAAAAGAATTGAGAAGAATTCTGCAAGAACTGAGAGCTTAATACAGAAACTAAAAAGTTTAAGGTTGACACTATTAGCAAAAGAAGATTTATCCCCAGTCAAGAAAGTTAATCCTGCTAAAAAAATTCCAGGTAAGATGGAGTTGTTTGTAATTTTAAAAAATCAATTTTATCTGACACCAGGAGCACTTACCAGCTTCTATATTATACTGCAATGTTAATGTCTTAAGATTGTTTTGAATAATTATATGTTCTCCATTAGATTCTAAATCTTAGCTGAGCCAAGATTGAGGGCCAAGCCGAAATGGGCAGTTGGATGGTGCCCTTTCTATTTTTTTTAACGGATGAGTATTCAGGATGAAACTGAAATTAACGATCACGTGCAATATATGAAAGAATAGAATTGAGTCTGCCATGCAAAGGATGCATTCTACTTGTAAATGGTGGTTTTTTTTTAAGCTATACTTTCCAAAAAAGCAAACCTCTTTTATGACTTTGAAGTTTGGCTAATAATAACAGAATGCTTTTTTGTTACAACAGAATTTGTATAGTTTGAATTTATAGTCTGTCAGTATGATCACTGATGGAAACTTTCCTCCTTTTTTTTCATTAGGTCTTAATATGAAAGACTCTCTTGATATAGATGTCCTTTCTAACCACTTAGATCATCTACAAAAAAGGTTGAAGGAATTGAAAGAAGACATGCTGACAAAATACATTCCCATAGAAAACACAGCCAATGTTGAAGGAGACATGAATCACGCCCTTCAAAAGCGAAATATGGCTGAAAAAAATAACGAAAGCCTGAAGTATTGGTATAAAGGTTTCTTTTACAATATGCACTTACTTATTTGGAGTATTTTTCTCTTTTTTTCATATTTTGAATAGTGAAAATATCTGTAATAACTTTGTCTACTTTCTTTTCATCAGATTAGAGCAATGACTTAGAATAGATCTTAGAATTGTAATTTCTAAAATTGTATGTTCTGTCTTAGCAACTGTGGTTAGATTAGCACCAACAGAAAACTCAACAACCCTCAACTTGGGTGAAATGCTACTGGTTTGGATGAACCATTAGCAATGATTGCCATTGGTTTGCCGAACCGGTACCAACCATCCCTGGCGGCCCTGCCCGCATGGTCGCCCAGTCACCACTTCTGGCTCGCTCTCGGCGCTTCCAACTTGCTCGACGTTTCCAGCTTGCTCAGCGCCTGCTGGTGAAGAAGCGAAGCGAGAGGTGCGGAAGCCGCCGTTGGCCAGGCAGCAGGCTCCCCACCCAGGGAGGGCCAGGCCCAGCTGCACCACCACAAAGCCCTCAGCGCTTTCCCTTCAGCCTGGGCGGTGGCACTTACCTAGGCAGGCCAATGTGGGTAGCCCTTCATCTTGGCAAAGACCAGGTGGCCGCACTTGTAGTCGTGCAGCCGGGCAGAGTGGGACATGGCACGGGCAGAGAGGCCGATGCAGCCCCTACCGAGGCCGCCCTGGCTGAGCGATCACTGTGCCTCCCCAGCACAAGGTGCGCAGGGGCTGCCTTGCCCGCCACCTTTGTGCGCTGTGCTTGGAAGGGGCTGCCCTCCCTCCCCGCCTGGCTGCAGACATCCACCTGCCCTCCTGGAGCACCGCTGTGCCACCGCCATTCACTTTCTTTCTTCTCCCGCCGCGAAACGAAAGCGAACAGTGGCGGTGGTGCTCTGGGAGGGTAGGTGGATGTCTGCAGCCAGGCGGGGAAGGAGGGCGGCCCCTTACAAGCACAGTGCATGGAGGTAGGAGGCAAGGCTGGGGAGGCGCGGTGATCACTTGGCCAGGGCGCCTCGCTATTCGCTTTCTTCCTTCTCCCACTGTGAAACAAAAGCGAATGGTCGCGGTGGTGCTTCAGTAGGGCACCACATGTGCCACACCATCTGGGACATCAGCTTGCCCTCTTGGAGCACCGCTGCAGCTGCATCTCCACCAAGGGCCACCTGCCATCAGCCTTAGCAATGCACTGGCTCTGTTGGGATGATAGGCATGCTGAATACACTGGCAGAGGATCTAGAAGGTAAGGCCAATGCTGACAGCTGGGGGGAGGGAGACCTGCTGCGCTCGGCTCCTCGGAGGGACATGGTGAGGCTCGCTCGCCTTTTGGGCCTGGCGCGCTCAGCTTCCACCCGGGCTTTGGGCAACTCCCACCTGCTTGCCTTCCCCACTGCCTGCATTCAGCCCATGATGGGGGAACGTGCCGCTTCCAGGCTGAGCCACCCACCCTCCTGGAGCACTTTCTTCCTTCTCCCACAGCAGCCGCTGCTCAGACCAGGTGTGTGTGTGTGTGTGTGTGTGTATGTGTGTGTGAGAGAGAGAGAGAGAGAGAGAGAGAGAGAGAGAGAGAGAGAGAGAGATAAGAAAGAAAGAAAGGAAGGAAAGAAAGAAAGAAAGAAAGAAAGAAAGAAAGAAAGAAAGAAAGAAAGAAAGAGATGTGAGTGACATCATGTTGGCCTCGCCCACCTGGTCACATGACCACCAAGCCACGCTCACAGAACAGGTGGCAAAAATTTTTAGATTTCACCATTGCCTCAACTGGAACATAGCAGCCATTAATAGGTTTCATGGGGGAAATCAGTGCATAGAAGACATATTAATTCCAGACATTTGAGTCAGGATGTTAGGTGAGCTCTGCTGCTATTACTGTATTTCTCTATGTATTTCTCTAAAAATAGGGTTATTGTTTTATCCATGGTGCCAGGAGTTCTTTGCCATCCAAAGTGACCATTGTCCTGTGTTTTGATACAAGGGAATAAAATAATGTGATATGGAAAACCCTGGAGAATTCAAACTACAGTTGATAGTCACATAGTCACATTTTAACCAATATTCTGATTTTTATAGTTTTTATCGGCTAACTCTGTTTGCAAGTGTGATCACTGTCTGGGAGAATACAGACAGGAATATTGACACTCTGCAGCAGCTCATCCATCAAATGATAGAAAGTGAGAAATTTCCAAAAGGTAAAAACACATCAGACTTCATCTTTGTACAATAAATCAGAAAAAATGCATGTTTCTGGTGGTGCGCTAAAATCAATGTGTTTCTGTTATGCTGGAAAAACACTGCCATTTATTTGCAGAAATAGGGCTTATATTGCTTTTACCATTTTTTTTATTGGGCTTTTTGATTTATACCTATATTGTGGGAACGGCAATGGTTGCCAATAGGTTTCAGGATGCAATTTGTAGTGTGCTGATTGCAACCTATAAAACCGTTTATGGCATGGGTCCTTGTTATCTGTGGGACTGTCCTTTCCTTAAAAGGATCATTAAAATTTTAATAAACATAGTAAAAATTAATACAAACTAAATGAAAAGAAAAATCAAAATGCAGAAAAAAAGAAAAAAGTAGAAGGAAAAGAAGACAAAGGCAATAATAAAGAAGTTTAGGCATTACTAGAAATATGAAATAGTTTATCCCTGGTTAAATAGTCCTTTATATTGTTTTTCTTTTTTTGCTCTGTGCAATCTGACCTTTAAATCTTTCCTATGGTGTTGCAAGATTTGATCTTTTATCACTTTTTTAGTATGTAAAAGAAGTCCTCAAAGTTTCCCCAGCCTTTTTTTGCAAATCACAAAAAGAGGCATGATCCAGGATTTCTTGTCAAAGCTGCTCCAGATCCAGATCCTTTTTTTCCCATAAAGAGGCAACAGAGTTTCTTCTGTTGTAGCTGTTTCATAGCCAGATTCTTTTATTAATTTATCTTTTGTATTTCCATTTTAGTAATCTTAATTTTGTTGTCTTTCAACAAAATGTTTTCAAACTATAAGGTCTATTTCAGGTAGACCTTTTTTTTCCTTGCATCTTCTAAGCAGTTATCCATTAAAATCTGTATTCTTTCTGAGATAAATATTTATAAATAAATATTTCAGGCCGAATTTAAAAAAACTCTGTAGCATAGGAAAAGTTTATAGCTGGCTTAGCCATAATAACTCCTTTCTGTGTGGTGCTTTAGTTCCCTCTAGTGTCCACTTGCAACTTTCATCATACCTCAACTGTTAATATGGATTTGGTTCCATGTCAGTCATTCTTATATTATTTAATTATACATTTGGTTTTTGTAGGTTACATAAAAAATAACCAATATGCTGCATCTCTGTTCTTCAAATCTGTTTAAAAATTTCTTAAATCAAAATTCCTTTTTTCATGCTTTTTGGAATTTGAATATTATTTTAAATTTTGAAAACTTTATTTTTTTTTTAATTCAAAGAGTGTAAAATTAAGCTGGTCATCATCTCGGCTTGTTTGCGGAGATGTATTTAATCAGCCAGGGCAAACTTAAAGCCTGGTCTTTTCCAATTAGGAATTGCCCACCCCGAGCATTCTGACTAAGAAGATTTTCTTCTGATTCCCTCTCTTCAAGAAATCAAAGGGAAGTGAGAATAGATGCAGGTCTTTCTCTGGGGCCTCTCAAGCCCTGTGTATGGAATACTCTCAGCTAAGATTGGTTTTTGCCCATTTACTTTGCAGGATGGGTGAAGATCATCTTTTCCACCAAGTTTTGAAATGAAGGTGGCCGGTTATTATATCATTCAGTGCTTACCCAATCAGTTCACACCCCCACTGGCAGTTAAAAGGAAGAAACAGCTGCGATCACACATTGCTCCTAGAAGCACGGAGCCAAAAACACCAGCCTGAAGATGACGAATGAGACTTTGTCGAAATGTCGCCAAGACACTTACTTCCAATTTTATCCGGGAGAAAACATATATATATGTTTTCTGAGGTTTTCGCGGGTATTTGTATGTAGGTCTTTGGTTGTTCGGGTTTTCTCCCGTGTAAAATTGGAAGTATTTTGGCGACGTTTCGACGAAGTCTTATTCGTCATCTTCAGGCTGGTGTTTTCGACTTTGTGCTTCTAGGAGCAATGTGAGATCGCAGCTGTTTCTTCCTTTTAACTGCTAGTGGGGGTGTGAACTGATTGGGTGGGAGCTTGGCTGTGTTCTGATTGGGTGGAGGTGTGTTCTGATTGGTTGGAGGTTTGGCTGTGCTCTGATTGGATGGGGGTTGGCTGTGCTCTGATTGGATGGGGGTGTGTTCTGTTTAGGTGGGGGCTTGGTTGTGCTCGTGTTAGTCTGAGTTGCAGGGGGATTTGAGCTGGTGAGCTGCATTGCTGTTGTTTGGCTTCGCAGTCGTGCCACATCTTCATGGTGGGTGTCAGTTTGCTTCATGTATGGATTGGAGGGATTTAAAGTGGCTAATGATGCAGCTATGGTCTGGCTTCTGGTTTGTGGCCGTGCTTCATCGGTGTGGGTTTGCTTTTTGCATGGATGTGTGGTGATGACATCCTGTGTGGTTTTCGTGAGTGTGGGTCTGGTGTCATTCTTTGTGTTAGGGACTCGTTTGTCAATGAGGGCGGGTTTCCAAATGGCTGGCAGGCGGGAGGTATCATCTCGTTTATTCATGCTGTATGGGCGTTTTTCTATCTCGATGGCTTCTCTGATTATTCTGTTGTTAAAGTGTTGAGTTTTGGCGATAGTTCTGGTCTTTTTAAAGTCAATATCATGTCCTGTGGCTTTGAGGTGTTGGACCAGGGAAGAGGTTGGTTCCTCTTTTCTGACTGAGTTCTTGTGTTCTTCAATGCGTGCACTTATTCTTCTGTTGGTTTGTCTGATGTATGTGGTGGGGCAGGCGGTGCATGGGATTTCATATACTCCTTGATTTTCTAACTCAATTTTGTCTTTGGGGTTTCTTAGGATGGTGGATATTTTTTGGTTTGTGCAGAATGCTGTCTTGATGTTGTGTTTGTGGAGGATCTTGCTGATTCTGTCTGTGGTGCCTTTTATGTATGGGAGGAGGGCTTTGCCGTTTTCTTGTTCTCTGTCTTGGGTTTTAGTGGGGGTTTCTTTTTGGATTAGGTTGGTAATCTTATTTCTTTGGAATCCGTTGGATGTTAGTACGTTAGTGAGAGTGTGTAGTTCGGTTTTTAGGTGTTGTTCGTCAGCTAAGTGTTTTGTTCTGGAGATGAGTGTCTTGGCTACGGAGTTGATCTGTGCTGGGTGGTGGTGTGAGAGTGCGTGCAGATAGCGATTTGTGTGTGTTTTCTTCTGGTAAATGGTGTGTCCTAGTGAGCCATTGGATTTTTTGTAGACTAAGACATCCAGGAAGGGAAGTTGGTTGTTAGCTTCTGTTTCCATGGTGAACTGTATTTTGGGGTGTAGGCTGTTGAGGTGTGTGAGGAAGTTGTCCAGTTTTTCTTTCCCGTGTGGCCAGATTATGAAGGTGTCGTCTACATATCTGAGCCAGAGTTTGGGTTTGTAATACGATTTTTCTAGAGCTTGGGTTTCAAAGTGTTCCATGTAGAGGTTTGCAATGACAGGTGAGAGGGGTGACAAACAAATAGAAGGAGCACCCATGGGATCACCATGGCCCCATAGAGAAGCATTGGCTTGCTTAACAACCGTGGCATTTGCATAATGTCCGCCATAGAAAAGGTTATAAAATTAGGTTGGTCATTTAACTGATCCACTTTATAACCATCTTGATTGATTTACAATCAGAATGCTTAGACTCCATTATGATCATAATCTGAGGTACCTGTATCCTGTTTCTTCCTTATCTTTGATTTAACAGCAGGGTAAGGAGAGCTCCAGAGGCTATAGGAAGGCCTTTGAAATGTAAGCCACAATTTGAAATAGTGAAAGAAAGTATGTTTTTACTGCAGATGTGTCCCTTGCACAGTTCTTGATTTGATTAAAATGTATTCTTTGTTTTCTAAGTGTGTAAAATGCTAACCTCGTGTGGATGGATCTGACCTTTCAGGTTCAATTGCTTCTAGTGTCTCAAGTGTATTTGAACGTGATCCTGGTAAAAGCAAAGAGGCAGAAGATCTGATTGAATATATTGAAAGGTAAGTCTTGTCTCTTTATTTAGGCAAATGAAATTGTTTAGTGCACCAAGTACACTAACTCCTGGTTTGAAAATGATGTGAAAAGTGCTTTACACAAATGGAACACTTCTTGGTTCTTCACTAAAATAACTATACAATCTTGAAAAAAAATGGGTACTTAAAAATTGCTTCATTAGTCATTCTTACAGCAGCCACATTTTTGTAAGACTCATACAGAAGTCTGGAAAAAAGGCAATCTACTTTAATGTAGAGCAAAGAGATGTCGTACTCCCTCAAAGCGTGAAGCATTTCTTCAAATCATCTTTCAAGCACACTTGGTTGTAATATTATCACATTCCCTTTGTCCTAACATATTGGATTCACTCCACCACAAGAGCACAGTGCACTATAGCAATATAGTGAGTAACAGGAAGTGAAAACAGAGATATAGACTACTTATGAGACCTACAGCATAGAGGCTAAGTAAGAAGATGATATCTTGCACAGGCAAAAAATTCCAGTGAAAGGTATTGTTTTGTTCTTGGCAAAACAAAACGAAGGAGACGTTTGGAGCAAAGACTTTCAGACCACACCCCTTTATTGGGCCAATGCAGAATATAACTGCTGCTACTTTTGCTCTTAATAATTAAGGGAAAAAAATTGGCCAATAAATACAGCATTAGATATTCATACAGTATTGGATAGAACAACATGAAGATACATGCTGCTATCCTAGAGATCTGCTATTTATAGTTGGACTGACAAGACATTGGTAGAGGACAAATTCGGGGATTGATATCACTAGTGGGAATTTATCTAGGCAGATAGAGATCAAGATGATAAGAAGCTAGAGATAGTTTGGACAAGGATTTATTCTGGAAAAAGAGAACTTGAAAAAAGTAATGAAACCTGAAGGGTGATTCATCCATTTCAATGGGTAAGTTTTCACAAAGTTGAAACATATTTTTAATTCCTTTACTTCCCAATTTTTTGGCACAAGGGAGAGTATCAAGTGACCTTACACATTTAACTTCATTTAAATGATCTTTCCTCTGTAGCTTAGCTATGGCTTTGCCACTGATAAAGATGTTTTTGCATCCATTTTCTATTGCTTATAATGTTATATTCTTTGAACTGTGCTAGGTTCAATGAATTGTTTTCCCGTGGTCAGTATGAGGCTGCAGCAACATATGCAGCAAACTGTCCAAGAGGAATCCTACGCAATGAAGAAACCTTGGAGAAATTTAGGGGTATGGACCATGAGATGCAATCTTCCTCTTTTGTATATTGTAGAATATCAGTAAACCATAGTCAAAAAGTATAAATATTTTTGGACAATTCTCTGGCTTTGGGATTTAAAGGAACTGGATGTTTATATTTAATTAGTTTCTATTGATGTTACTGCCATGTTACTGAATGTAAATTAATTGCAATTGATAGCCAAAAAGTAGTTTTTATCATTCCACAAATAATTCCTAGTTTCACACCTTTCTATGATTCTTTATAAAACTTTTCAAATTATGTAAAATAAAGAAATATATGCTCCTTTTCTTAATTTATAGCATTCTGAGTTCAAATCCTCCTTTGATAGAAGGTCTGAGCTTGAGAAAAATTGCTGGCATAGAAAACAAACTGCAACAAGCAATTGTTTTTTAAAATATTGCTTTTCCCCTTCAGCTGTTGGTCGTGTTAAAGGGAAGATCCTCCCTCTACTTTTGTATTGTGATGCACTCATAACTACAACCATTGCTATTAGGAAGCCTCTTCCTGCAAATTTGACAACTGAAGCCATCAAATGTGCCTTAGCTGAGAAACGGTTAGACTTGGTGATGCATTGGGTCACTTTGCACAAGTAAGTGGTCATTCAGAATTCTGGGTCAGTAGCAGAACATATACATTATGTACAGGAAGTCCATAGGTCATTCTGTGGGAATTCCAGATAAGTATGACAAATGTTCAAGAATAGCAGGATCTTGGGCATTGGCTACCAGAATATTCACTTAAAACTAAATGGCATATTTTCAGGATAGCAGGTGCTGAAGAATACTATTATTTCTAAGAAATCAATTATTAGTAGTTCATTTTAGACAACAATTCTTAAAGGATAACAGGCATTATTTTCAAACTGAATTAGCCCATCTCCATCAAACTCATTCATGTGAGCTGAAGGCAGGGTAGAATAAGAAATCTTTCAGAAGGAGAGCAGGATATTTATAGTTAGGAGAAATCAGCAAGAATAGAATATCTATTATATGCAAGTTTCATTGGAGCAAAAATTATTATGGACCAAACCAGCTAACCTAGTGACAATTTCTTTCAGAAAGGCTTTAGGGGAAAGCATCCAATTTAATAAGAGAATGAGGTTTATTTTTTACAGCTCATCTTCCATTTTTAAAATAGCATCTGAAGTGGAACTTGAACAAAGTCTATCTCCAGAAGTTTCTGGACACAAGGAGACTATTCTATCCTTGGATATTCCAAGGCTGACACAATAGAAATGCACAAATGGCTCAACATGCAGTACAGAAAAGATGAAGCAGATTTCTCAGCAATTCTCAGCAAGGTCTTGTGATGCTCTAGGAACAAAAGCACCATGGTACTGAAAAGAGTGCATGAAAGAGATCTTTAAAAGATACCTACAGTTCCACATGCAGCTGTGACACCTTGGTAAACATGGCAGAGTAGCCAGTTTTTCCATTTCTGGTCAAAGCAGAAATGGTTTATTAAAACAAGGCAGTAGTGAAATTCAAATTTTTTTACTACCAGTTCTGTGGGTGTGGCTTGGGCGTGGTGTGGCTTGGTGGACATGGCTTGGTGGGCGTGGTATACTGCAAAAACTCCATTCCCACCTCACTTCAGGAGAAAAGCATACTGCAAAATCTCAATTCCCTCCCCACTCCAGGGGAAGGATATTGCAAAATCTCCATTCCCACCCCACTCTGGGACCAGCAAGAGGTGGTATTTGCCGGTTCTCTGAACTACTCAAAATTTCCACTATCGGTTCTCCAGAACCTGCTGGATTTCACCCCGAAACAAAGGGCAATAACAGAGGTGGCAATGAATACCAGAGAGAAATCAGTCAGATCACCCTATCAGTCACGGGCTGCCTTTCATTCATATATCCTAGTTCCCTTGGTTTTGGGATTGCTATTGGGGAGTATGGGCTCTGAAACATGTGATGAACTACTCTTCCAAGCCAGGTTATAAAGGCAGCTCAGTCTCAAATTCCAGTTGCAATTGAAATCCCTGAAAAGCATAGAGAATCCAGGGTCGGTTTAAGAGGCAAAAAAATCACCTGGATGGGAAAGAGGTATCACCTTTCAGGCAAATCAGTTGGGGCTCATGATTCCCTCTGCAACATCTAGCAAGCCTATAAATGCATTCCAATGAGGTTTATGAAATTAGGGATAGATATAAGGCATGCCATTTCTCTCATTTTTATTCCTGATGGATATTTTCTGGCACATATTCTGAACTTGCTGTTGATATGGAGCAAGATATGGTCTTTAAAAAAGGAGAGTCTTTTAAAGTGCAGAAAGCTGAGCTTTGGTAAAGTATAACCTATCTTCCAAAAGGAGAAATATATGAGGACAAAAAATTGTATTGCGAATTCTTCAAACATGCTTGTTTTCTTTTCCCCATATTTTTCTCTTATTTATCATAACTCTTTGATTTTATGTTATCCTTTAAAAGAATAAGATATTATTATTTTCATCATTATTCCACTTTTCTTTACAATGCCCAGAATTTGTAAATTACCTAATGATGTTTTGTTCGTTTTGTTTCTCCCAGATTGGAATTCTCTGAGGCTGCCGGTGATGCAATCTTTAAGTATGCAGATGTGGATACGCACAACAAGTCCCAGTGTCTAGCTTTGGCTCAAATTGCATACAGTGAGTGTGGGGCTCACAAAAAAGCTGTTTTATGCTTGTGCAAACAAGGCCAGATTTATGGAGCCATGGATTATCTACATCATTTCAAACTTCTTTCCACAGGTACATTTCAGAGCTATGTTGTATTTATGTCTCTGTTTTAAATTATATCTGATAGTGTTATAATGATGTTTTGGGTGGCTTTCAGTGCTATCAGGATGTATGCATGTGTTTGCCTATAGTATGTGTATGTGAGAAAAGGATGATGGAATGAATAAATCTAATTCGAGGTAAATGTTTTGCAAATGTGCATGTGTGTATGTTTTTGTTCTCACTCTGTGTTGAATATATATGTATATGTGTGTGTATATGTGCACTAGGAGGCATAGGGCAGTCTGCATATGCTGCACTCTGGTCATTCTCCCAAGAAGGAGAAAGAAGAATGCAGTATTTTGAAGTGTTGCCCAATTGCCTTCTTATAGGCATACTTTGGGGAATTGTTTTCTTTGCTACCTGATTTGATCTTCCTTTCTCTAGTTCCTCTGCCCCCTCCCCTCCCGACTCCTTCACCCTGCACAAATTTGGCCCCATTCAATTAAGGACAACATTTTCTCCTCAAACAATCCATTGAACTTTGAATAAATTGAGCAGGTATGAAATGGCTACTATGGTTTTTAATATATGACCATTTTCTCTCCAGCGAATTTTAGCATACTTGTAACATTACCAGCCATCCCTAAAATGATATAAAGTCTGTCTTCCATGCATTTATTCTGTTGGAATTCATTTTTGAAGAATGAAACCATTTATTGCAGGTCTACCTTATCATGACAGGCATTGTTAATGAACCAGTCCTCCAGGAGTTAGCTAATTGAATCAAGAAGTTGTGTGCTGAACAAAGCACTGTATTTCTCGGTCATTCCCAAAGCAAGGTTGAGTTCAGGGATGTCTGTGCCATTGCCAACACCAACCAGAGCTATCAAAGTTCTACCTATTTTTACATGCATGTGGTACACAACAAAAAGTGGGGCATTTATCATCTAATCATGGCTTCCATTTTGATATTGTTCACATACAAACACACGACAGAGGCCCAGAGTTGAGAGGAAGAAAATGCTGTTTATTTCATTGTTCTTTTAATCTTCGCTTTAAATGATTAACAAATGAAAAAGAGCTCTGAGGTTATACTACCTAAAAATGCAATAATTCCATACAGTATTGAATTTTCAAAGGTGGTTTTCACTTCTGCTCATTTTATGGTGGAAGGTAAAAATGACAGACACACTTTTCAAGCTGCAAATATAAATATATCTGGATATTTTTTTCTTTTCAGGCTTTCTAACACCTGTGCTGTTTGATTTCAGAGGATTATATCTTTCTACTGAAGCACTGTCCTCGTATAGATTTCATCCATTGCCTTACTCAAGAATGGAATGGGAAACCACCAATCATGTCCCTTGGGGAAACCATCCTTTCTCTCATTGGAACAGAACATGAAATACATGGCATACACTTGTTGGAGGATATTACCAAAAAGGGCAAGGGTAAATATAGCTTGACTGTTTCCAATGGGAATGTGGCAACCCTAGAAGTAGACCAGGCAAAGAAACTACTTTTACTGTAACAGCTTTAGTAACAGAATCTTGACAGTCTGAATGTGTTTCCCCATCCCTCCCTTTACTTTGTGTGAACTAGGAAGGGGCTTGTCTGAAATGTTTTCTCAAGATATTTTCTTGGCCTGAACTCAGTCCCCTCTTATCCGACTGTTGTCATGGCAACTCTTTTCCTCCTGCCCCTCAAGGCCATACCCTATGCGTCTACAGAATGTAAATACATTTGCTTGCAATTATCTGACTAGATAAAATGTTGGGGGGAAATTTTTATTAGAAAATGGAGACAGGAAAGACTTAGATTTTCTTTATGCTTCAATAACAATTCCAAAGTTGGACCTAGTTCCCCTTCAAATTAAAATTTATCTACTTTAAACATTTTCTTGATAGTGACACCTACTGAATGCTTGCTGTAATTTAATTTAGAATGATACCAAAAAAGTATGCATTTTGAAACAGTTACTGATTCAGAGACAAAAAGCAGCAAAATATTCTTTTGTCTTCTTTCTCAAACATATTTGTAGATACATTGGAACAAATTATTGTAAACGATACCTCCAATGTGGAAGGATGGAAGGAGATAGCTGAAACATGCCTCCTTGTCAAAAAAGAACATTTATACAAACTTATCATCTCTGTCCTTGCTAGCCTGGAAGGAGTGTTTGAAATTCCAACAGATGATACAGAGGATGCCAAATTAATGGAACATGTGTTCTTGTAATTTTTCCACAAGGCACGTGGAGGAGCTCTTTGTCCTAGGAGATGTGTAGATTGGCTGCATAAATAACAACACAACTTCTTCATGTTATTTCTGTTTTAAAAACGTAATATATTTAATACCATGAACCTGATTTGATTGTGCTATAGTTGCTGCTCATGCTTGATCATTTGCCCTTGTTTTACTTTAAAAATGGTGTTCCTTTCTGAAGTAATTTAGCTATGTTTATACTAAATCGCTTGTGATTTCTCTTCCCTTTTTCAGTAATCGTTTTTCTTCTATTTTTTCTTCCTAGGGACAGGAAGTTGAATCAATTGTTGGAGACATAGTCTTTCATCTCCCAAATAGTCACATTTGTTTAATTTTTAAAATCATGTTGCTTTTATGTTGATACATTTAGTGGCAAAATTAGAAATTATCTCTAATATACCCATGGATAAGATGCTCACAACTTAGCTACACAGTTATTCTTTCCATTCTATGAACTGGAGTGAAACTGGAATAATTCCTGGTTTCTCCAGGAATCAACATTTTTGGACTAAAGGTTATGTAACTTTTGTAGTCTTTCCTGGCATGGTTGTTGGATTATGAAAGATATAGTCCCAATGCACCCGGAAAGTACCAGGTGGTGTTTAGGCTACCTTATTGCACATAGATTCAGCATTAATTTATGCTATAAATAAGTTATTTAGAAAATCCATCCTATTATGAAACATTTTGTTATACCGCAGACGCTTGATTACTGCCCTGTTTCCCCCAAAATAAGACATCCCCTGATAATAAGCCCAATCGGGCTTTTGAGCGCATGGCAATAAGGCCAAGCGCTTATTTCAGGGTTCAAAAAAATATAAGTCTTACTTTCAGGGAAACACGGTAACAAATTAAGCAAGTTACTAAAATTATATCTCTAAAATGATTGTATTTGAAGATAAAGTTTCATCCTTATGTTCCTTCCTTTACAGCAAGCAGTTCATTTCTTTCACCCCATAAACCTGCCACGTAAGCAGGGAAAGGCCATAGCTTGAAGGTGATGTGAATTGGTTAATGAAGATTTTCTTGCACTCACATCCAATTATATTTCACAGGGTTTTCTGACAGAAACAAACCAAGAAAAAAAAATATGTTCAACAATGTATCTGCTCTTCACCATAATGTGTATTAAGCAGGTTGATAAGAAACAGCTAAGAGACACAGATTTTGTGATAAAAGGCTGAATATCAGCAACTATGAGAGCATGGTCCAACATTTACTTTTCTTTTTCACTCCCCCATTATTTCTTTTCAAAGATTTTGTCTGCAGAAGCCCAAATGTATGTTGTGAGATATGCTATGCTATATTTGAATGTCTTTTTAGTTCCCAAGATTGCAGTACAAGCCAAGGACATTCTCACTCTGGAAAGCTGTAACTCTGTAATCATATATGCAGTAACAATTCTTGGGGGAGGGCATTGAAAGAGTGTGTGTGTGTGTGTGTGTGTGTGTGTGTGTGTGTGTGTGTGTAGGGAGAAGGGGGGGAGAGAGAGAGAATCTCAAGGCAAATTAAATTCTTTATGGCAGTGGAAAAGTAAAAAAGAAAAAAGCCACATCAAGCACAGATGGTCCCATAATTTGTTCCAAGATGCTGAATTTTGATCACAGAATGGGACCTCACCCAAATTCCAGATACTGTAAATGGGCATTGGTCCTACCTGAATGCCGATTCTCAGAGACGCTGTGGCATCGGCCAGGCATGGGTTGCTACAGTCGGATCTGCCTAGATACTGAGTCATAGTTTTTTGACCACGCCCCTTGTTCCTTTCTCTCAGGCCCAGGCAAAGACAGGCCAGAAGAAATTCTCCAACTGGAAGAAAATCCCGACAGTCAGCACCAGGCCCTGAGGAGAAAGGGAGGGGCTGGCCGATGCCACAGCATCCCTGAGAATCGGCATTCAGGTAGGACCAATGCCCATTCTCCAGTGAGGCTGTGGCATTGTCCAGACATGGGACATACCAAAGCCTTTGGCAGTCCTAAGGGTGGGATGCCGAAGGGCCTGGAGCAACCCCGGCTTGATGCACCTGCTGTAAAACTCTCCTTCCAAAGGATGCTTCTGCTGAAGCGAAGACATCCAATTTATAGTGCCGGATGAAAGGTGAAGAAAACCAGGTGGCTGCCCTGCAGACCTCCTCAAGGGAGGCCTGCGTGGTCCAGGCCGCCAAAGTAGCCACACTCCTCGTGGAGTGGGCAGTGATGCGTCTGGGAACAAGTAGAGCCTGGGCCTGATAGGCTGAGGCAATACAAGCTCTAATCCAGTGACCAATGGTCGAGGAAGAGACCTTAGACCCTAGTGAATTTGGAAGAAAGGAGACAAACAAGGCCTCAGACCTTCTGGATGGGGCAGTTCGTTTAATATAAATTTTGAGAGCCCTCCATACACCTAGAGCGTGCCACCTTCACTCTAACACGTGAGATGGCCTCTGACAGAAATTAGGAAGCATGACTTCCTAGGCCCTGTGGAGCCAAGAATTAATTTTTGGAATGAATGAAGGGTCCAGCCGCAAGACAACTGTGTCGGGATGGAACACACAGAGATCCTCCCTGACAGAAAGAGCTGCCAGCTCGGAGATACGTCGAGCAGACGTTACGGCAACTAGGAATGCGTTATCTTACTTCATTGTAAGATACCTAAGGCTGACAGTTTGGAGAGGCTCAAAGGGGGCCTCAGTCAAGGCATTAAGCACTTTAGTTAGATCCCAGGTGGGATATCTATGTACAGTCGAGGGCCATAAGTTACTGGCGCCCGGTAAAAAAAGTCGAATGACTGGGTACCATGTTAGGGGCTCCCCTGCGTTACCTGACAATACTGTGGAGATGGCTGCCATGTGTCACCGGATAGTGCTGTGGGCCAAGCCACGATCCAGGCCATCCTGAAGAAACTCGAGCACCTGCTGGACAGAGGCTGAGAGAGGATTAGCCTGGTGGGAGGTACACCACCTGGAAAAGGTCAGCCAGGTGGCGTTGTAAAGCCTGACTGTGGACTGTCGCCTGGCCGCTTGTATAGTGCAGATGCCCCTGTCAGAGTAATCATCCTGCCTCAGGAGGACCCCCTCAAGTGTCAGGTGGTCAGTTGGAGCCACTGGGGCTCTCGATGAAGCAGGGCCCCCTGGCAGAGGGTGGTCCATCCTGAGGGTATCCTCCATGGTCGTGATGCCGAGAGGCTGACAAGGTCTGCAAACGACGGTTGACAGGGCCAATGAGGGGCCACTAAGATGATCTCTGCCTTGTCGGAGATGACTTTCTGAATTAGTGCCAGTATTAGGTGCAGAGGGAAGGCATAATGAAGGAGTAAAGTCCTTCCACCCCGGGTGTCAGGAACCTCGAAAAGTATCAAGGTAGTTGGTGATTCAGGCTCAACGCAAAGAGGTCAATGTCCGGAGACCCGAACCTGCTGCATATGTCGAGGAAAATGTCTGGATGGAGCTGCCATTGGGCATTGTCCACTTGAGTTCTGCTGAGATTGTCTGCTTGAATGTTCACAGTCCCCGTGATGTGCTCTGCCCAGATGGAAAGGACGTTCTTCACAGCCCACCTGCCGAGACGAAAGGACTCCTCCATGAGCCGCCTCAAGCGAGTCCCTCCTTGGCAATTGACATGTGCCTTTGCGGCAACATCTGTCAAGATCAGTACATGTTGGTTTTGCAAGGATGGTTGAAAGTGACTGAGGGCCAGGTGAATGGCCTTCAACTCTAGCCAGTTTATCGGATTGGCAAGGTCTTTAGAGGACCAGTGACCTTGTGCCACTTGGGAGTTGAGGTGGGCCCCCCAACCAAAGAGGCTGGCGTCCGTTGTAAGAGCGAGTCTCTGGTGGTCCCTGAAGAGACACCCCTTATCCAGAGAGGTTGATGTCCACCAATGAAGAGCTCTCAGGACATGAAGAGGGACCCTGACCTTGGTTAGGGTGTAAGACTGCTGCGCTCGCTGAAATGGGAGTAAGAATCACTGGAGGTGCCGAGCATGGAGATGTACCCAGGGGATGATCTGCATACATGAGACCATCTTGCCCAGCAACTTGGACAAGGTGGCTAAGGGAACTGTTGGATTCTTGTGAATCTGAGATATTAGCTCCCGTATGTCGGTCCTCCTTTCCAGTGATAGGTATACTGCTCCCTGCACAGTGTCGATAATGGCGCCCAGATGGACAATCCTGGTGACTGGAATCAGATGGCTTTTCTTGTAATTGACCAGAAAGCCGTGGTCGAGTAAGGTACAAATCGTGAGATCGAGATCTTGTTGAGCTTTGCTGTGTGACGATGCCTGGATCAAGATGTCATCCAAATATGCCTGGAGTCTGACCAGCTTCAGCCACAGGTGCGCTGCTACGGCGGCCAAGATCTTTGTGAAACACCTTGGGGCTGAGGCCAGCCTGAAAGGGAGAGCCCTGTATCATAGATGCCTGCCCGCGTAGCAGAAGCATAGGTACCTGTGATGGGCTGGCAGAATAGGAATATGGAGTAGGCCTCCATGAGGTCTATTGAGACCAGAAAATCGTTGGGACGAATCCCCTGCAATATGGAATTCAGGGAGCACATTTTTGAACCTTCGGTATGCAATGTGAGCATTGAGGGATTTTAAATCTAGAATCGCTCTCTCCCCCACCCACCCCGAACACTTTGGCACAACAAAAAGAATGGAGTAGTAGCCTTGACTCCACTGGCTTTTTGGAACCGCCTCTATAGCTTGAATCTGGAGAAGGTATTGAACAGCCTGTTCCATAAATTGTTGCCTGGTCTTGTTGTTTGAGATAAGACACTGTATAAAGTGGTTCGGGGGTTGGGAGAGGAATTCTAGGGGAAGTCTGAATTTGACTACAGTAAGGACCCAATGATCTGAGGTTGTGAATTCCCACCTGTCTGCGAAGAGAGCCAAGCGGCCCCCTATGGGAGGATTGGGTGGTGAGTCATTTGTGGCCGCGGGATTGGCGGTAGCTGGAACCATGAAAGGACTGCTTGGACTGTTGGAATTGCTTGAGTCTGTCCCAAAAGGACTGATGATCAAATGGTCGAGTTGTTCCTTGAGAACAGAACTGCTGGGAAGGACCTCCCTGCAAGTAGGCACGAAAAGGCTGCTTCCTATAAAGGGGAGAAGATCTGTCAGCTTGTCTAGTGGACAAAGGGAGAATTTTGTGTTTATCCCAGGTTTCTATGAGGAGCGGCTCCAGTGATTCCCCAAAGAGTTTCTTTCCAGTGTACAGAGCTGCAGCCAGGCACCATTTGGCCTTCAGGTCTGGTGGCCACTGATGGAGCCATAGTAATCTACTGGCCAAAACTGCAGATGCCAGAGCCCTTGATACGTACTTGGCAGCATTTAAGGTCGTGTCAGCAGAAAATTGGATAGCCGCGATAATTTTGTTAATGTCTTGATGAAGATGAGCCTCACTAGGGGCTACCCTGGCTTGCAATTGCTGAAGCCACAGAATAGTGGTGCAGTTGAAAAAGGAGTCTGAGGATGCCGCCTGGATGGCCCAGGCCACGGCCAGGTGGTTCTTTTTGAATAAAAGATCAAATTTCTTGTCCTCAGGGTGGAGGCCTTCTATGTATCCCCAGTTACATAAGAAGAAGAGGATGAGAGAGCTGCAACAGGGCTGTCCACTGGGGTAACCTGCAACATTTGGGCAAACTTGGGAGGTGCAGAGTAATACTTCCCATCTGCCCCATTCGCTGAGGGAATGGCTGTAGGGCTTGACCATTGTTTTTCCACCACATCTATGAACAATGGTGGGGCCGGAATAAAGAGCTGCTCTGGTCCAAGCTCATAAAAAAGGCCTTGTGGTTGGCCCTGCTGGACTGCCTGAGATTCCCTGGGGATGTTGTCCTCCTTTATGGCTGCTGTGGTTCGTGCCTTATGAAGTAAGGACTTGAACCGGTTTGGAGGACAAAGCCCTGTAAAGGTGGGTGTGTCTGGGAATACCCCCTGATCATCTGAAAAATCAGAATGATGTTCGTCTTCAAAGACAAAAACCTCACTGCCTCTGGAAGCATCAGGTGAACGAGAGCTGGTTAAGCTGGCTGAAGGAGAGCCTTGAAGATGAGCAGACTGCTCTGAGACCACTGATCCCAAATGATGACCCTGGAAAACAGTTGCCATGTGTGAGGCAATGGCCTGGTCAATAAGAATTTGCAGACCTTCGGGTAGGTCTTTAAAAGGGTCAGAGGCAGGCCTAGCAGTTCAGGGCGACACACTTGCTGAGGCTGCCACTGCTGACACACTGCCAGGGTCAGCTGGTACAGATGGATCTAACTGACAAGCAAAAGGATTCTGGGCTGGGCCCTGTTCTCCAGGGGTCAGCAAGACTGGACCCGTGGAAGTCTCACCTGCTCCTTCAGGGGACCAAGCCTGATTTGATGGAGATGGAGCCAGAATCTGATGAGAAGAAGTACTGGTATGGGAGCGGTTTCCCTTGCAGCCATGTTTAAAGCAGCTTTGGAGACTTCTAAGGACTTGTGTCTCCATTCAAGGTCTTTGGCCTCTGCCTTAGAAATATGCTTGCAGGAAGCCTTTTTGCCAGTGGAGGTCCCAGCCACCTCCCTGTCTGTAGAACGATCCACCATTTTAAAATGCTGTACTCACTGCAGCCAAGATGGCGTCTGGAGGTAGATGGGCCTCAAATTCACCACGTGGTAGGGCAAACGGTGGCGGCTGTGCCGGTGAAAACCAGGATAGCCAGCACACTCGTGAGCAGGGTGGATTCTGCTCAAGGGGCAGCTTGTTTAGGTAAAAACCTAGATCGTGCCAGCTCCCAGCACTGACGGCCGCAGTCAAAGCAAGGCTAGACCGGCAGGCCGTTTGGAAGCCACTTGGAGGGTGCAGGAGGACTCTGTGCACCAATCTGTTCCTTGTAAACTGCTCGGTGGTGGTAGAGCGGCAATTGAGGCCAAGCTGCCTCAAAGCGATTTCCGATGCTCTTGGTGGTGGCAGAGCGGCAAAAAACCATTTAAAACCTTGCCACGGTGCTTCAAAGGGCCGCCCTACAGCTGATCAGCGGTAAAAAGGATGTGGGTAGCTGCGGCCAGGAGGCACGAATCTGTAGCTGCTGCCAGAGAATCGCTGCCCAAAGAAGTTGGTGGTATAGCTTTGGGAGCTGTCGCTGCCTCGTTGGTGGCCTAGAGGGCCCAAAGGGTGCCTGCCAGAGGCAAAACGGCCACGGCAATAACAGCTGAAAATGGTGGCCGCCTGGAGTGATGTTAGGGTCTGGTAGACCGGTGAGCTCCAAAATAGAATTAGTAGACCGGTACAGCTCTGCAAGCTGTTTAAAATAAGCCTGGTAGACACCTCTGCTAAATCCTAAAAAAAAATTTAGTCAAAAAATTCACAGTGACTCTGAAAGAATTGAACAGACAAGGGCTGAAAGCCAGATCTGCGAGAGATGTTTCTCTCAGGCCGACTGAGTCGAAGCCGCCTGAGAGGAAGGAACAAGGGGAGTGGTCAAAGAACTATGACTCAGTCTCTAGGCAGATCTGACTGTAGCAACCCATGTCTGGATGATGCCACAGCTTCACTAGAGAATTGCCAGCTCACTAGTTTACTGCATTGTCTCTAGACATCATGTTAACTTTAGGGAGTTTTGCTGAACACTATCCAGCCACAGATTCTTTTTTTCCTTAGCTCAGAAAATCACTGTTGGAATCCTGTGTCACCAGGAATTTGCATATAATCCTGTTAATGAATTGAATAATAATTGAGTTTAAATTGGATAGTTGTGGTTCACAGACCCCCAAATTTATTAAAGGACCCTTTCTTAAGAAAATGTAGCCTGGATCATTTATTTAAGAATATAATATACCATATGCCTGACATATATTTGAATGTGTGTGTGTGTATGGGTGATAATGTGTATGGATGGATGTGTATAGAAAGAGAAAGGAAGTCTAGGCAAGTAAATTTAGTATTTTCAAATGAAATCAGTCATTTTGTAAAAATGCGTAGCCGTTGTTTCTGGCTTAATTTGCCCTGAGGCACACTATATATATACAGCTTTGCACACACATAGCAAGAGTGGTCGCTGCATATATGATTACAGAATTACAGCTTGTGAAGCAACTGTGTGGGAGTCTCCTTGGCTTGTGCTACTGGTTTATATACAAGACACATAGCATTTCTCATAAGATACATTTGGGCTTGTCTTGGCAAAATCTTTGCAAAGCAAGAAAGTGGAAGTGAAAAATACAAAGCGCTAATACAAAGAAAAACTTCCCTTTACAACTGATTTCCTACGTTCAGAATGTTGCCTATTGATGGGAATTAATTTAAAATAATGTTTTAGAAGGAGCACAAAAATGCTTATATAACACCCATAAGGGGTGTTTAGTGGAAGCCAATGCATAGGATTTTGCATTGAATTTAGTATTGCTCCTAGGCAAATGTGTACAGGGTTGCAGTGCTTTTACTACATCCATAAAATCATAAAATATTAAACTCTTCAAAGTCTGTTGCTGTCTTCCATTAAAATCTTACATCCCCCAAATGCCTAGGGGGGAAGACATAGTTTCAACTGCTTCCTAAAGGATAAAAGGGTAGTGGCTAGCCCAGTGATGGCTAACCTTTTTCTCGTTATATGCCAGAAGCGCGTGTGCGCACGTGTGGCAGCATGTGTGCGTGCTGGCACCCATAATGCAATGCATGCCCCCCGTGCACACATGTACAACCCCCCATGCTCTCCCTCCATGCATGCGCATGTGACCCCCCACACCCTCCCCCCACCCCCTGCGCATGCGCACGCAACCCCCCTAGCAGGCCTCCCTGCAGCCTCCTGGGCCCAAAAATGGGCCATGGCGGTATGGGCCACTCCCCCCATGCCCTGTTTTGGGCTTAGCAGGCCACCCTGAAGCCTCCTGGGCCAAAAACAGGCCATGTGAGGTCAGGCCACACACCCCCCACACACCCAGTCAGTGCTCTGCCCCCATGCATGTGCACAACCCCTCTGTGCATGTGCGCACGTCCCCTGAGCATCCTGAAATCAGCTGGTGTGGTGGAGGTGAGCTCGGCAATGGCTCACAAGCCCGCAGAGAGGGCTCTGCATGCCAGCTGTGGCACATATGCCATAGGTTCGCCACCACGGGGCTAGCCTGTAGAGAGTAAGAAAGATGAGTATGGAGACATACAGTCTCTATTGCCTAGGCCCGTGATGGTGAACCTATGGCACACGTGCCACAGGTGGCACGCGGAGCCATATTAGTGGGCACACCAGCTCAGCTCTGGAGCGCATCAGGGCCCACCAGAAGTAGTGGGCACATGCGCACACGACCCTCCCCCGCCCTCCCCTCCTGGCACGCAATGGCAAAAATGTTAGCCATCACTGGTCTAGGCAAAAGAGGCTTTTAAGTCCAGAACGTCCTAGTAACATTTGGAAGAAGCTCAGATAAATACCCTCCTCATTCACTAAATGAGTGATGGCTAACTTCTTTTTCCTCGGGTGCCAAATGTGTGTGTGTGTGTGCACAATAGCACGCACACACTTGCCCATACCCATAATGCAATGTCCCCCAATATCCCCGCCCTCTGCTCATGCACGTTCAATCCCCCCATGCTCCCCCCCCATGTGCATGCGACACACACACAGACACCCCTCGTGGCCCGTTTTGGGCCTTCCGGTAGGCCTGTTTTTCGCCCTCCCAGAGCCTCCGTGCGAGCCCTGTACTTACCTGGCATCCAAAATGGGCCGCGTGGAGACTCCTGGGAGGGCCAGGGCGGCATGGGCATGCGCATGTGTCTCCTGCATGCACGGCAGAGACCCAAAAATCAGCTGGCCGGTGAGAAGCGCGTGCATGCATGCGCGGTAGAGCTGATCTAGGGCAATAGCTTGCGTGCCCACAGAAATGGTTCCGAGTGCCACCTGTGGTACACGTGCCATAGGTTTGCTATCACGGCACTAAAGTAGAAGAATGAGGAGGTACAGTACAGTGAGGCTTTCAAGATTTTATTACAGCCATTCTCGATAAAAATAGTCTTAGCTTTCCTATGCAGTTGATTTCCTGGTCTGCTGTATCTAGTGGGGCTGACATAGCCTGACCTCAGAGAACAAGCTGTTCCAGACAGATTTTATTTGGAAAAAAACAGTTTAAAAAATAACAAGAGCCCAAGCCTATTTAGTGTTTTGTAGGTGACAACCAGCACCTTGAATTCAGTCAGGAAGCACTAGTGACAACCAGTGTAGCTCACCCAATAGGTATGTTGCTGAACTGGCTAGCACCAATCGGCAAGCAAGCAGCTACACTTATGCCAAGGGCAGTCCCACATAGAATGGACCGCAATAATTCAACTGAGAGATGACACTTCTCTCTCTCACACACTTTTGGCACGCAATGGCAAAAAGGTTAGCCATCACTGCACTAGTCTGAGGTATCAAGACCGCTTTTGACTTATATCCATCTTGATTTTGGGAGGGAAGGGAAACTGACTTAGTCTGGCTCTAAGTAGGGATACGAACCACATGGCAGGCTTTGAACTATCCTTCAAGCTCTTGAAGTTGCTCAACCATCACTTCTTTCATGCTGCTTGTTTCTCACCCAAAGCAATTGATGCAACACAGCAGTGAGAGCACCAGTGCACCTTAACAGCAGAGCAATTCATGCTGCTGCACTATGCCATCTGGAATACGACGGCTGTTCAGCCAGCACTTTCTGGCAGCCAGGCCAGAAAAGCAAGAAGCAAGCAGCTACTGTTCCTCATTAAAGATTTATAGCATCTTTATAGGCATCTTTATATCAGCCATCAGTAAGGCGATACAGGCAGGGGTGAAATGCTCCCGGTTCGGACCGGATCGCCCGATCCGGTAGCGATGGAGGCGGGTGATTTGGAGAACCGGTAGCAAAAATCCCTGCCACCCCCCATGCCCTGCTGAGCCGTGTGATCATCAGAGGCTTTTTTTCTTTTAAATGTCTCTGATGATCCAAGCTGAGTTGCCTAATTGGCAGAGGCTTTTTAAAAGAAAAAAAGCCTCTGACGATCAGGGAATTCAGCTGGGATCGTCAGAGCCTTTTGAAAGCATTTTTTTACAACCTCTTCATTGAAGAGGTTGTAGAAAAATGGTTTTAAAAGTTAAAAAAAAATGACCACGCCCACCCAGTCACATTACCCACCACCACCAAGCCACGCCCACAGAACTGGTAATAACAAATTTTAGATTTCACCACTGGATACAGGTAGTCTTTGACTTATGACCATTCAGCAACTGTTTGAAGTTGCAATGGTGCTGAGTGAATGGTGCTATGACCAGTACTTGGAGTTCTGGATGTCCCAACAACCTGATGACATAATCATGATCTGGACACTTGGCAACTAACACATTTATGATCAGTTGCTGCACCCCATGATCAAATTATTGCCATTCGGGACCTTCTCTGCTGGCTTCCCCAGAAAGTCAATGGGGAAGCTGGCAGGGAGGGTTGAAAGTCACAGGAGTAAGTCTTCCCCATATACCCTCTTGGACCCTCGTCATGCTTCCCTCATATGCTTGTGTACCCCGCATCCTCCCAAGCTCCCTCATATCTGTACCCTTGAGGATCTTCCCTAAATCTCGCTGCACCTCCCTTGCACTCCCATGCACCCTTGCACACCCTCTTTGACCCTTGCTGCACATCCCTCGCACCATCATACATTCTCCAAGTTCTGCACACATTAACCTGGTTGTGATAAGCCTGCTGGAAGTTGCCTCATTTAACAGCCATGGGAATAAGTTAGCAATGGCAACCAGGACTGTAGGGATTGCCATAATTAAATAATGTTGCCCTGTCTAATGACCATGGGATTCAGTTAATAACAGCAACCAGGATTGCAGCATTGTGGTCACATATTATATGACTACATGGTTTAGCAATGGAAATTCTGGTCCCAATTGCCATTGTGAGTTGAGGGCTACCCGAAGAACCTGGCCACATCACTGACATACCAGCCCAGTAATGGTGGATCGATGCTAGAAGGCACAATAGGTTACTAGTAAAGAAATAATCTGTCTCATAAAGATAGAAAAGGCAGTGAGGTTGCTGCCAGAAATAACAGCCTTAATGGTATGTCTGACCCTGGATTTTGAAGGTGGGGGAGTAACTGAGTAAAGCAGGCTTACGTTTTCTTTTAAATCCCTGTAATTTGTGCACGCTCATCTTCTCTTTAAGTGATCGCTAATTTAAGAATATCTTTGTGGGAGCCAAGTTTTCTTTCTCACACATACACCCTGCCCTGCCCTGCCCTGCCTTCCCTTTCCCACATCCACATTACTAAGAAAAGTAGAAAGCATCTTGATAGCTGCAGTTCTACTGCTGGCTACCGTATGGTTGAAGAAATATCATCTTTTTTTCATCTTGTAAAGGTTTTATTAGTTAAGTCTCCCGCCTGAGTCCGACAGCTCCATGCAGCCTGGATTGTTGAACTGGTTTGCTTGTTTACTTACTTTGTTATTGGCTAAATCTAAATGCAAGGCAATGTCTGGGGTGAAGGCTATCAGGAAGGTTGCTTAGGCTGCTTAGCTCAAGGCTGAATTATCGCAGCAACCGAAGACAGCTTTGAGGTCTTTGGACTCTTACAGTTGATCTCTGTCCTGGATTACTGCTCTGTCCTCAGTTTCAGGAAATGTCTGCTACGTTTGTAGTGTGCATGCCTGGGGCAGGGGGGTGGTTACAAGCTGGATATCCATGAAAATCTTCAGCAACTTCAGATGGAAAAAACTCAGGCTCCTTTGGACCTCCTATATGGTCTATAATTATAGTGACTATATGTCTTTATTTAAAAAGACAATTCTTTATTTCAAAAAGCTATCTTTCAGACATATTCAATTGATTTCTTGGTTTTTCTCTTGAATTTTCCTTTGTAAAGCAAAGTTATAAACAACAATTTGTCCCTTTTTTCAGGTTGGTCCTTTATTTTTCCAAGGAAAATATGGTCACCTTATCTATAATGGAATTTATTATATAATAATTTGGAGAGGGAGGGAGGGAAAGGAGAGAGAGAGAGAGAGATGTTCTGTTTTTCTTCAAAAACTAAAGTGCTGGATCATCCAACAAAGTTCATTGAATACAATATTTTATTTTATTTTATTTTTTCCAGAAAGCTAAACAGCATGTTGTACTTTTTTTATTTAGAAATACAAGTCAGAGCAATCATTTTGTATTCACCCAATACAGCTTCCTAACTTGTGGACCTTAGGACCTAAGCTTCCTAACAGAAAGGAAGCAGCAGGTGAAGCTAAGCAAAAGATACCTGCACAATTAGCACAGGGCCCCCCAAGGATGTGTGCTTTCTCTACTTCTCTCTATATACCAATGACTGCATCTCAAACGATCCATCTGTTAAACTACTGAAGTTTGCAAATGATACAACATTGATTGGCCTCATTCGAGACAGTGATTAATCCACATACAGACGGGAGGTTGAACAACTAGCTTTGTGGTGCGACTGGAACAATCTGGAACTGGACACATTCAAAACCGTAGAAA